ACACAATTGACGACAACAATGACGATAATAATGACCCAGGGGCCGAGAAAACAAGAAACGAGAACACGAACCAGGGTCAGAGAAAACGAGACCACGACCCAGGGGCAGAGAAAACGACAAAACGAGAAAATTAACCAGGGTCAGAGAAAACGAGACCACGATCCAGGGTCCGAAAAAAATGAGAAAACGAGCAAACTAACCATGGTCCTAGAAAACCAAGCCACGACCTAGGGGCAGAGAAAACAAGAAACGAGAACATGAATCAGGGTCCGAGAAAACGAGACCACGACCCAGGTGCCGAGAAAACGAGAAAACGATAAAACAAACCAGGGTCAGAGAAAACGACACCACGACTCAGGGGCCAAGGAAACGAGTCAACGAGAAAACGAACCAGGGTCAGAGAAAACAAAACCACAATCCAGGAGCCGAGAAACGGAGAACACGAGAAAACGAACCAGGGTCCGAGAAAACAGGACCACGATCCAAGGGGGGGGAACACAAAAAACGAACCAGGGTCCGAGAAAACAAGACCACGGCCAGGGGCCGAGAACACGAGAAAACAATAAAACTAACCAGGGTGCGAGGAAAGATGAGACCACGACCCAGGGGCCGAGAAAACAAGAAAACGAGACCACGAAAACCGAAACAACATCCGAGCAAACGAGACCGCGACCCCAGGGCACAGAAAACGCGAAAACGAAGCAGGGTCAGAGAAAACACGACCACGACCCACGGGCCGAGAAAACGAGAAGACGATAAAATGAATCAGCGCCCGAGAAAACGAGACTACGAACCAGGGGCAGAGAAAACAAGAAAACGAGAAAACGAACCAGGGTCAGAGAAAACGAGACCACGACCCAGGGGCCGAGAAAACAAAAAGCGAGAAAACGAACCAGGCCCCGAGAACACGAGACCACGAGCCAGGGGCCGAGGAAACGAGAAAACGCGAAAACGACCCACGACTCAGGGGCCAAGGAAACGAGAAAACTAACCAGGGTCTGACGAAACCACGACCCAAGGGCCGAGATCACCAGAAAACGCTTGGTTCGAGAAAGCGAGACCACGGCCCAGGAGCCGAGAAAACGAGGAACCGAGAAAACGAACCAGGGTCAGAGAAAACGAGACCACCACCCGGGGGCCGAGACAATGACAATACGAGAATACCAACCAGCGCCCGAGAAAACAAAACCACGACCCAGTGGCCGAGAAAACAAGAAAACGAGAAAACGAACCAGGGCCCGAGAAAACGAGACCATGACCCAGGGGCCGAGAAAACAAGAAAACAAGAACACGAACCAAGGTCAGAGAAAACGAGACCGCGATCCAGGGGCCGAAAACACGAGAAAACAAAAAAACTAACCAGGGGCCGAGAAGAAAACGAAACAAGGAACCAGGGCCCGAGAAAACGAGACTACGAACCAGAGGCCGAGAAAACAAGAAAACGAGAAAACGAACCAGGGGTCGACGTTACTCCAATGCGTTCTCTAGCGCTGAGGCTTGCACCTGTCTGCAGGGATTCAGGAATTTTGCCATGACCCCGGAAGGGAAGGGGGGGGTAGCTTCGGAAGCCCCCTCCCTTTGCAAAGAAGGGTGGAGGGGGGTAGCTTGAAGCCGCCACCACCCCCCTGTGCCCAGACCAAGAAACGAAGGAGGGGGGGGGGTAGCTTCCGAAGCCCCCCCCTCTTGAAAGGGAAGCCCGGGCTCACCTTCTGCTCCCGAAAGAGGAGGGAGGGGGGGGGAAAGCTTCAAAGCCCCCCTCTTCAGCCAGGGCCCCCCTAGCTTAGAAACCCTTACAGAAGGGAGAGGTGGGGGGGGTAGCTTCGGAAGCTCCTCCCCTTTGGACGGGAGGGGGGGGTAGCTTGAAGCTGGGCCCCCCCTTTCCTTATTCCCGGCGCTGCGGGCGCGTTCTTTCATTTCTTTTGCGGCGACCTTACATAAGGATTCCAAGTGTGGGTGACCTGCAATGGCCTTCACATTTAGAACCCTTTTGCAACAGCCTTTACAAGAAAATCTTTTTGCGGCGGCCTTACAACAGCGATTTCATTGCGGGGGGATCTGCAGTGGCGGCACCTTGAGCCCAGGAAAGCTAAAGAGGAAAACAAGAAAAACAAGAGAAACAGGAAAAAGCACATGCTTTCAAAGGGAGAAAAACCATGAACCCACGAGAATAAACCCCCAGGGATAGTAAAGTTCGGGGTTTTCGGGGAGATAATAAAAGTTGTCCGCCAGAGCCAGCATAAAGAGATATCAAAAGGAAAAAGCCAAAGATATCTTGAGGACTGTCTCTGTTGAGACATCCTCAACGACTTGCTTGTTTCGCTTGAGACATCCTCGAAGTAGTTGTCTGTTTCGCTTGAGACATCTTCAAAGTATTGCAAATTTCGCTTGAGACATCCTTGAGGGAGGAGGAGGAGAAAGAGCAAGAGGAGGAGAGGAGAAGGAGATAGCAAAAATCCAAAGTTGAAATATTATTATATTGAATTTGTAAACGCTTGATGAAAATTAAAATGTTCATCTGCTCGTGTAGGGTAGCTCACGTGCCTCGTCTTCCCAGCGATAAACAAGTTCAGGGCGCCAGGGGGAGGAGGAGGAGGAGAAAGAGATAGAGAGACAAAGAGAGAGAGAGAGACAGAGAGGCCAGGAAGGAGAAAGAGATAGAGAGACAGAGAGAGAGAGAGAGACAGAGAAAGAAAGAAAGAGAGACAGAAAGAACTACAAAGAGACAGAAGGACATTGGTTTCGCTTGAGACATCCTGAAACAACGTGTTCGCGTCGCTTGACGTTGTTATCTCAACATAAGAAGGAAGCAACCTCGATGGCGAACTTTTCCCGTGATAATGAAGTTCGGCCTCCGCGCCCCCGCGCCCCCGACCAAACTCTTATTGGTCGACGATAATCAACTCTAACTACTGAAGGGGGGGTACATTATTATCGTGGGCATGGGGTTAAGAAAAAGCTAGGGAGACCTGTGACTGTCGGTATTCGTATGGTGCAGACGCTCCACGCTTATAATCCTTCTGTAGCAGCCTTCATAAACGGATTCCTTGTGTAGCGACCTTACACAAATATTCCAATTGTAGGAGATATGCAGTGGCCTTCACACTTAAAATACTTTTGTACCAGCGTTTTACACAAGAAATGATTTTGTGGCGGCCTTACACAAGGGTTTCCATTGTGGGGGGGTCTGCAGTGGCACACCTTGAGCCCACGGAAGCTAAAGAGGAAAACAGGAAAACAATGAAAAACATATCAAAACTTACGTTTTCACAAGGAAAATAGGAAACAGCGAGGAAGACATGTGACTGTCGGTATTTTGGTAGTGCAGACGCTCCACACTGATAATCCTTGTGCAGCAGCCTTTCCAAACGCATTCCTTGTGTGGCGACCTTACACAAGGATTTCAAACGTGGTGGATCTGCAGTGGCCTTCACAAGTAGAACCATTGTGTAGCAGCCTTTACAAAAAAGTATCCTTGTGTGACGCCTTTCAACAGGGTTTCCATTGTGGGGGGATCTGCAGTGGCGGCGCCTTGAGCCCAGGAAAGCTAAAGAGGAAAACACTGAAAAAAGACGGAAAAAACGGATACACAAAACATGTGTTTTCACATGGCAAAATAAGAAGCAACTAGGAAGACCCCCGACTGTCGGTACTCTTATGGTGCAGACGCTCCACACTTCAATTCCTTGTGTAGCAGCCTTTACACAAGGATTTCTTGTGTGGCGACCTTACAAAAGGATTCCAAGTGTGGGTGACATGCAGTGACCTCCACATTTAGAATTCTTGTGTAAAAGCCTTTACGACACAATTCCTTCTGTGGCGGCCTTACAACGGCGTGTTCATTGTGGGGGGATCTGCAGTGGCGGCACAAGGAAAGCTAGAAAGGAAAACAGGAAAAACAGGAACAACTGGAAAAAGCATGTGTTCACAGGGAGAATAGGGAAAAGCTAGAAGACCTGTGACTGCTGGTATTTTGATGGTGCAGACGCTCCACACTATAATCCTTTCGTAGCAGCCTTCGCAAACGGATTCCTTGTGTAGCGACCTTACACAAGGATTTCAAGTGTGGGGGATCTGCAGTGGCCTTCACACTTAGAATCCTTTTGTCACAGAGCTTTGCAAAAGAATTCATTTTGCGGCGGCCTTACACAAGGGTTTCCATTGTGGGGGGATCTGCAGTGGCGGCATCTTGAGCCCAGAAAAGCTAAAGAGGAAAACAGGAAAACCATGAGAAACATCAAAAAGTTTGCGGTTTCACATTGAAAATAGGAGGCAGCTAGGAATAACTGTGACTGTCGGTATTCTTGTGGTGCAGACGTTCCACTATTCAAATTCTTGTGCAGCAGCCTTTCCAAACGCATTCCTTGTGTGGCGACCTAACACAAGGAGTAGAATCATTTCGTAGCAGCCTTTACAAAAAAGAATCCTTTTGTGGCGGCCTTTCAACAGGGTTTCCATTGTGGGGGGATCTGCAATGACGGCGCCTCTTGGGGCCCTCTTGGACCGTCTTGGAGCCATCTTAGGGTGTCCTGGGGGCCTCGTGAATCGTCTTGGAGCTAATGTGGGCTGTCTTGGGGCGCTTTCGGGCCGTCGTGGGGCGTCTTGGGGGTGTCTTGGCCCGTCTTGGGCGCCTCGGGGACCCCAAAAGGCGTTTAGAGCCCGGCTTGCCGCATCTCGCCCCTCCCCTGGAACTCCTCCCTTAAGGGCTTCGCCCCATCAAATTACGTGCATCGTTCGTACCTCGCTCTTTCCGTCACCTGGGTCCCTGCTGCCTGCCCCCCCCCTTGTTATTTCTCCCGCCTAACGAATCGCGACGCTACGCGCGCTTTCCACCATCCTGCCCGAATAAATGGCGCTTGCTTGAAACAAACGTGTCAACGCCAAAACAACCAACGATCCTCACCAACATCATCACCATCACTACCGTCATCGTCATCGATCTCGTCACCTTTGTCAACACCACCACCACCGTCAGTATCAGCATCACAGCGGCGGAAAGTTGCCTCCCTTTTCAGGCCAGGCTTCGGGTCGCAGTCGCACCAAGCGAAGAGGTCTCCCTGCCAACGGGGCACCGAAGCAAGCCTCCTCACAACGGTTTCCATGCACAACCTCCTCTCATCATCCCACACCGCTCCCCCGCAAAATCCCCTCCCTATCATCTTCTCCTCGTCGGAATCACAATGTCCGCCGAAGATTCGCTGCCGCCAACATGCAAACACCTCCAAAGAAGCGAGTCTGGTGCATGAATACTTCGAATGGCAGGATCGATATTACACCACCTGGTCAGTCCGCACGCAACACGCCATGCAGCAGTGGCGCTCCTCTCCTCCTCCACCTGCTCTTCCTCTGCATTGTCACTCACTCCTCATCTCCATGCTCTTCCTCCTCCTCACTTCCTGGAAATCGTTGGGCGTATTGGGGGACGGTCCCTGGAGGCCGCCCTCCGGAAGCCCGAGAACTTGTTTCTTTCAGCGTGCAAAGATTCTAGAGAGTGTATGAAAGGAAACTGAGGGGATGGTCGGCATGAGCTGCATGGGCAGAAATAAGCATACGCACATGCGAAAATAAGCAGCCCAGTAACACTCTTCCAGGCACTCGCAGAAGGGGGGTAAGGCAGAAGGCAGAGCAGAAGGGAAGACGAAAAGAAGAGCAACGAGGAAGGCAACTCGTGACCCTGAATTTCTGAATTCGCACACGATCCCGAGAATACTCGCCAGCCCCAAGCTATGGCAGGAACAGGCACGCAACACGAACCGACCTGCAGCAGGCAAGCCCGTGCGGTCAACCAGCCACACGGACCGACGGGACCCCAGCGCGGAGATGAAGAGGCCGCGGCTTGCGTCCGTCACGGCGACCTCCCTGCTCGGAGAAAACGGCGTCCAGGACAGCCACAGGACAGCCCCCGACAACCCCCCAGACAGCTCCAGGACAACCTCAGGACAGCCGCGCGGCCAAAATGCTGGCGCGGCAAACGGCCTGGACAGCCGCGGGACAATGCAACAGGTCGGCGGCGCA